TGCTTTCTTCTCCTTCTTTTGGGGTATCAGGGAGAACCCCTTGTGGTGGGGGGTGGTAAGTGTGGCTGTGCATACTCAACTATAAATTCTCTGTGACTCATGTCCTCTTCCCTCACATCCCAGTGTGTGTGTGTGTGTGTGTGTGTGTGTGTGTGTGTGTGTGTGTGTGTGTGTAGGGGAGGAGGAACCACCCAGGAGTCTGATGCTGGAAAGAATCAGCATGAGGCTGGAGTGCTCTGCTTCCTAAAAGGCAGGCGGCACAGGCCAGGGTCTGAAGTGGTGGTATGTAGGGAGTAAAGGAGTCCAGCTGAGCCAGACAGGATATGGGATTGAAAGGAAAAGCCACGTTTGGGGCTGAGATCGGGTTACTGTCCTGTTTTTAACTGCTCCCTGCCTGGTCAGAGCTTAGACTGATCCTCATTAGTCTTTTCTTTTGGGGCTCCTCCCAGCCCAGGCTCTAGTTCCCTCCACCTCCCCAACAGCCTTGACTCCATCTCTACTCCCAAGCTGGCTGGCACTCTCCCTTCCCTCCAGGTCTGTGCAGGCCTGGGGATCTCAGTAGCCTGGTCAGCTCCCCTTCCCTGGGAGGGGGAGCTGGGAAGGCAGAGGAGCTGCGAAGCTGTGAACTGCTTGTTCATGTGTGCTGGGGTGCGGGACACATGCAAACCCTGAGAAGCTGACTCTGTGCCTTGAGTCACAGGGAGGTGTCTCCGGGGCCTCAGGGTCAGCTGGCCTTTGGGAGGAAGGGGCTGTTCCAGAGAGTGGGTGGAGGTGATTCCCAAGTGGATTAGCTCCTTCACAGCAGTGCTGTGATAGATGTGTGGCTCCCCACAGTGTGGTCATTGTCCCCTGTCAGGGGCTGAGTGACCCAATGTTGCTGCCAGGCCCAGGAGGAAGGGGGGGGGGGGGGCGCGGGCTGCCTGACCGTGAGCTGCCAGGACTGAGCCTTCTTTGTGTGACTTTGGGGAAGGGATGGGGTGGGCCAGGGACGCCTGCCGGCTGCTCCCACTGCCCTCTGGCTTACTTTCTTTGCTTCTGATCTCACCTGTGGAGTCCAGTCTGGATCACTAGCTCTACTTTGAGAGGTAACCCTTCAACTTATGTCTCAGACTCTGAATACGTGTCTAAACCTCACGGAGCCTCGGTGTCCTGCTTTTGTCAGAATAAGATGGCCTGGGGTCAGGGAGACGGCTCGGCGGCGGCGGCGGGCAAAGGTGCTTGCCACGCAAGAGTGATGACCTGAGTTCGAGCCCAGGAGCCCACTGGAAGGTAGAGGGAGATACTTGAGTACAAGCTGTCCTTTGACTTCCGTACCCACCTAACAGGCAGCTGGAGATCTGAAGATGCTTCTCAAAATGCCCAACAAAGCGCGTGTGTCCAGGGAGAGACGAACACCTAGCTGCGCTGCAAATGCTCCTTGCTTTACCCCACCTCCTGTAGCTGGCTTCTTCGTGACCAGGCATGCGTGACTTCTATTGAGGGACAATCTATTCTAGCTTGCATTTTAGTGATTTTTAATGAGTCACAATCTTGGTAACATGAAGCTGATAGGCAAGGCAGAATAAATCTAGGTCTTTTGGAGTACACCTGAGCACTTCTCAGGTGTCCAGAGTTTTGCCCGTGAATGGGTAAGATTTTAGCCAGTATTCCTGGCTTCTTCTACGTGTCATTGTCTTCCTCCTGATCAATTCTAACTCATCCCGGAAGACCTGTTCTGACCAGCATTTCAAGGTCTTTTGCCTGCAGGATTGGTTCTTGGCAAGAACATGCCTTGGCAAGCCCCCTTCCCTTCCTTTGCCGGATGTTGTGGTTTTCACGGAAGTTTGGGGCCCCTAAAGAAGCGTGCTATTGGACGCTTACTGGATTTTTTTTTCTCCCAAATCCCCCTTGCCTCTGGACTGCCAGTTTCAGCCATGGCTGCAATCCGGAAGAAGCTGGTGATTGTGGGTGACGGTGCCTGTGGGAAGACCTGCCTTCTCATTGTCTTCAGCAAGGATCAGTTCCCAGAGGTCTACGTCCCTACGGTCTTTGAGAACTACATCGCAGACATTGAAGTGGATGGCAAACAGGTGAAGGCCGAGACTTCCTTGCCTGGGAACCCTGCCCCCAGCCACGTAGGGCCCTAGGATGTCCTTTCTTAGCACCCAGGTATACATCTTCGCTTCATTTCCCTGCTGGAACCAGCAGAACTTAGGAAGTGAAACTGTAGCCCCAGAAAACCTGGATGTACTATCTGGTTTGACCACATACTGGAGCTGGAATCTGAGCCAAGTCCCTTTGCCTCTGGGCTTAACCTCTCCCTGCTACAAAAGGTGAATGAGGGTAAGACCTACCCCCAAGGGTTGCTGTAAGAATTAAATGGTGCTTACCACGGCAGCTCATCCACCACAAAGATCAAATCCACCTTAGATTTTTAAAAGTGTATTGTTGGTTGTGTGACTGGTCAGTACAGCTCAGCACATGGGTGAGTGCTTAAAAGACGTTCCGTAAGTTTATAGGACCAGTGATTTCAGGGGGCCTCAGGGTGTTAAGTTTGGGATCCTTGGGCTAGCTACTCAGTAGCCCTATGTATGTGTCAGGTGGAGCTGGCTCTGTGGGACACAGCAGGGCAAGAAGACTATGATCGCCTGCGGCCTCTGTCCTACCCGGACACTGACGTCATCCTCATGTGTTTCTCCATTGACAGTCCTGACAGCCTGGGTAAGGCTTTGGAGGAGGGATTGAGAGCCTGCAGAGGCCGTGGGGAGGGAGTGTTGGGAGTGTAGGCCCTGCAGGTCTCCTTTGCTATGGAGACACTAGCCCGTGGTGTGGAGGGTGTCCACTACAAAGGGCTTTGAGCTGTGTAGGGTGCTGCCTGTTCAATAGTCTCTGTGACTGCTGTGGAAGACCGGGGGGCTTCTGGTGCTCCGTGGGTACACCTACACCTTTTGGGATATCTCTGCAGAAAACATTCCTGAGAAGTGGACCCCGGAAGTGAAGCACTTTTGTCCCAATGTGCCCATCATCCTAGTGGGGAATAAAAAGGATCTGAGGCAAGATGAGCATACCAGAAGAGAGCTGGCCAAGATGAAGCAGGTGGGTGGGGCAGCTCTTGTGGTGAGGAAAGGTCCTTGAGGGTCAGAAACTAGGATGGAAAACAGCCGTAGCCAGCCTTAGCAGGGACCGTGATGTTCACCTCCTGCTGTCTATCGTCTCCATGTTGGGGGAACTAGAGGGTCCGCAGAGTACCTAAACTGTCAGAGAAGTGACTTGTCCAAGGGCATTGTTTTTACAACTTGTTCCAGCGTATGGTCTGGTCTGTCTTTGGAGTTGGGGCTACTAAGATGGATGAAGAGCCATCCTCACCCTCAGGGGCAGCCCTGTCAAATGGGGGTGTGGAAGCTGTGCGTTAGAGTGCCCTGGGAGGGAGGGCATTGTAAGTGGCTGGAGGAAAAGGTTCAGAGGGTGTGCACTCAGAGACCTGCTAAATGACCCTAGGCTGGGGCCTGATTTATTTAGAGGACAGTAAGGAAGGTAGACTATCTCGGGAGGATAATTAAGGTTTTAATTGGGGACAGATGTCCAGTCTGTCTATTAGTAAAAATATTCTGGTAGCTATGTAGGAGGGACTAGAGCAGTTCTCAGCCTGTGGGTCATGACCCCTTTGGTGGTTGCATATCAGCCATTTACATCATGATTCATAACAGCAGCAAAATTAGTTATGAAGTGGCGACTAAACTTTGTGGTTGGGGCCACCACAACCTGAGCAACGATGTGAAAGTTGAGAACAGTGGGCCAGAGGAAGATGAGAACGGAGGTCAGCTGGGCAGTGGGCACGTTCAGAGGAGAGATGAGCATGTAGGGGTAAGGCTGGGTGGGAGGGGAGAATAGACAGAATTCTGAAATGGTGACTTGGGTCTTAGGGCCCCAGCCTGGAAACCGCCTGTGGTAGCTGGGACCTGGGTGTTCTGCAGGGTGTATGGAGGATATTGATTTGCCCCTTCTTTTGACCCCCTATCTTGTCTTTGCAGGAGCCTGTTCGATCTGAGGAAGGCCGGGACATGGCAAACAGGATCAGTGCCTTTGGCTACCTTGAGTGCTCAGCCAAGACTAAGGAAGGGGTGCGGGAGGTATTTGAGATGGCCACTCGGGCTGGCCTCCAGGTCCGCAAGAATAAGCGCCGGAGGGGCTGTCCCATTCTCTGAGTTTCCCAAGTCTCTCCAATCCCCGCCCTCCCCCTCACAGGGGTACAAAACACACACCACCCACCCATCCATCCCATTCCACCCTTGTAGGACTCCACACTGCCAGTTTCCTTTCTGATTCTTTCCTGCCCAGGACTGCATGAGTTTTCCCAGCCCCGAGTGGGGGCTGGTAGGTCCTTCCTCCCTGCCTCTGGGAACCAGGCTGGTCAGCCCTGCCCTTCCTGAGCAGGGCCCCTCCTCCCGCTGCATTGGTCCAGGGATAGGGTTCTTAGTCCCTTTGGCCTTCCCCATATCACACACCAGCACTTTATATATTTCTGGCTCACAGGAGGAGTCTGGGGTAGGGACTGGGGTTTCTGCTTTGGGTAGTAGCCTTGCTCTGACTTTACTTGGTGGGAGGGCAGGACATGAATAAAGGTCAAAGGTTCCACCATGTGTGGCAGCTTCCTGTCTTTCCTGGCCTCCCTTGGCTGTGAGCCTGGAGTCCCATCTTTTTCTCTTCATTTCCAAGTTGCTGGCTAGGCTGGGCCCCTGTCTGCCGAGGCAGGGCTGGGGGCGGAGGCAGCAGGGGACAGGGTGGAGTCTAGAGTAAGAGATGAGGTCATGTTTGGCTGACTGCCTGGGTGGGTGAGGGGAGTGGTCTGTACCATTGGCTAAACATAGAAGCCTGTGGGTGGCTTCCCTGTCCACTGGGTTTCTTGTCCTCCACGTAGTTCTGAAGAGGTGTGGCTCTGGACAGATCCCCTCCTGGAGGGTCAGCTCGGGGGCACAGGAAGCAAGGCCAAGCTGATGAGACGGAAACAAGAGGCTTTTGCATAGAACGGCATTTTGTTTTTCTTAAAGCAGCTCAGCAGTAGACTGCTTGCCTAGCATATTCGAGGCTCTGGGTTCCATCCCCAGTACTGCAGAGGAGAGGGAAAAAAAAAGCTTTCCTCATCCCCTTCCTCCAAGTTTTAGCAGCTTGGGTTATTTCCCTAGCAGAGGAAGGGGCGGGATGGTTTGGGCTGTAAACTTCCCAGCCTTCCTGTCTCTTTCGTGGACAGGTGAGCTGGGTTCTGGGTCAGGGATAGGCAGCAATAAGGCTTGGCTGGTGTGAGAAGGCGGCAGCTGTGTCTTCAGAGTTCATTTCTCCACTCTGGCTCCACTTGTAAGGAAAGGCCCCCTTCACCATCCCGCTCCTGGGGGAGATTGTGGTGACGGCGGGGCCCTAGGAAGAAAAGGAGACACACTTGCTTTTCTTCGCTTCCTCTTCCCACGGCTCCCCCTGCCTGGCCCACCATGGCCCATCCCTACCTGAGGTAGAGGGGCTGAGTTTGCTTAGACCTTGGAGCAAGTCTTGTCCCTGCTGCAGGTCCAGTTTAGCAGGAAAGGGGCATCCAGTATACCCCCCATTTTCTTTACAAAACTCCAGGAATCTGTGGGGTACAGGGACATTGGCATGGGAAGCTGTGGAGGCTTGGCTGCGGAGCAGAGGCAGAAGGCAGAGTGGCCCAACTACATGTAATAATTCAGGGTGGGCATTGTGTTAGACCTGAGGACTAACGGAGTATAAGCGGGTGCTTAGTAAAGACACACCTGCCCTAGCCCGGGGCTCGTGGTCACCAAGAGCAATTATGGGGTGGGAATGCTTACGTTTTCCAGTCCGGGTCATGGCCGAGGAGGAGGGGGTTGCCCACTACGATGAGCAAAGCCTTGGCCCGGGTCACAGCCACGTTGAACCTCTGGAAGGAAGAAGTGGTGATGTCATGGAAGGGACAGGCCCCGAGGAAGAATTCATGCCACCCACAAGCTTTCTAACCTTGGGGTTCTTAAGGAAACCGAGGTTAAAGTCCAGATCCAGCTGCACAAAGCTCTGGCTGCTCCGGACGGTGGAGATGAGGATGACGCTTCGTTCTTGCCCTTGGAATTCTTCCACGGAGCCCACCTAGAGTGCAGAGGCAGGTCTTGAGACCGGGCAGGCTCAAGAGGAGCCATGGGGACAGACCCGCTCTAGGAGGCAAAGCGGCCAGGAAGGTACAGACAAGTCACTGGTTACTTGGAGATCAGTGCAGGGCCGGGAAGGGGACAGGAGGCCTGCCTGCTGGGGAGGCCTGCCTAAGAACAGAGCCAGTTACAGGGTGGGGTCTGGAAAGGGTTCAAAGCAAATCAAATGGCAGGCACTGCCGGGTGCCCTCCCTGGAGACAGTCGCTAATCTGGTCAGAATATCTGAGCGAGAGGCCTGTAAATCATAAAGCAGTGGTTTCCAACCCTGGCTCCACACATCAGAATCACCCGTGGAGCTTTAAAAAACAAAACAAAACAAAGCTGGGTGGTGATGGCGCTTATCATCCCAGTCCTCGGGAGGCAGACAGTCTCTTGAGTTTGAAGCCAGCCTGGTCTACAGAGTGAGTTCCAGGACATCCAGGGCTACCCACTCAGAGAAACCCTGTCTTGAAAACCAAAAATAAATTAATAAATAATAAACAAAACAGTAACAAAAACCCACCCTGGCTTTTCCTCCAGACAGCTATGGTAATTGGCTGGGTGGGACCAAAGCAGTGATACTATTAAAGTTCTCCAAGTGATTTTTATCTGAATCAGTGTTGAGCCAGCCCTTCAGACGGACAGTTAAGCTACAGAGGGAGCAAGGAGATAAGATCACATGACAGGCAGGGTTGGTCTAGAGAGTTTGGACTTCATCCTTGGGGCAGAGGCCACACACCTGACTGATAAGACACGGCCTTGTTAAACAGGCAGGCCGCCAGGTTCCATCTCGGAACTACCTGGGGGAAACCCCAGTTTCATTTTGAGGAAGCAGGGTAGGACAGGACACAACACAGACTGAGGTCAGAGGCACACAGAAGGCTGGGAGAGAAGGCAGGGTGCACGTCACCTTCAAATCCTTGATGTCATCCAGTCCTCGAAGTTCCCGGTCGAGTCTGGTGATGCAGTAACGGATTTTTTCTACCTGGAGGGAGGGGATAGGTAGGTGCCTTTCTCTCATGCCATCACCCTCACAGAGGGAGGCAGAGGCAGCCAGCTGGCCAGGGTGCTGGTGGGCAAAGAGGGAAGTCCTAGTCTCGGACCGAGGGCCTGACCTGCTTCCGGTATGGGGAGATGACGCCCACACTCCGGGGGCTCAGGCGGGCTTTACCCTTCTTGGAGGAAGGGGCCAGGAGCTGTTTCAGGTATGAAGTCACCGTGGCAGCCTCTTCAGGGTTGAAGAAGGATGGGCTATTGCCCTCTCGCTCATCTTTGCCCATCACGCCGTGGAAGATGATGGGGAAGCCCTGGACCCAGCGAAGCGAGAGCAAACCCTCAGGCTGATCTCCCGGCCTCCCTACCCCCCAACCCAGCCAGGGAATCAGGGCTCCAGGGTTGCAGCCCCGCCCTGCTCGGCCTCACCTGCCGAGGCAGGCCCTCCCAGCGGCAGAACCGTTCCCTGTCTACCACGTCTGCACAGGCCTGCAGCTCTCCATCATAGTACAGCCGGTTAGGGATGTCCAGGATGGTGGGGTGAGACCTAAGAGGCAGAAGGAGAAAGAACACGGTCGAGGCCCCTCGGGGGAGCCCTGCTCCACGTGCTCCCCACCCCCACCCCCCGGCCATGCCCGAGTCTGCTGCCCGGTGCTGTAAAGACAGAAAGCTGAGCCAAACGTGGTTCTAATAAGCAGCCAGGCTAGGGCTCTCACTGACCAGCCAAATTCCTTTAAAAAAACCAAGAAGTTAGGACCCACTCTCAGGTTTTAGTTTACCCAAGAAGGACAGTCCAAAAACAAATGATCATCTATTATCGCTGCTCTTGAATTAGGTTAAACCCCCCAAATATAAGTATCAACACAAAAGCATTTACAGGACTTTTACAATGATCACTGTGTGGTGTGGGTAGTCATGCTAATGCCGTGTGTGTGGAGGTCGGAGGACACCTTGTGGAGCCAGTTCTCTTTCTACCTATAAGTAGGTTCACGGGGTTGGGAAATCCAACCTGGGTTGCTAGGTATGTGTACAGCAAGTACACTTTTACCCGTCGAGCCATCTCAGCCCTGCCATTTCGAGATGGTGTCTGGCTGTGTAGCCCAGGCTAGCCTTTAAACTCTTCAGCCCTATCTCACTCAACCTCCAAATGGTGGGCAACCACGCCCCAGCTTACATTTACTCAATGCTTAAAAGATTTTTATTATTTTTAATTATGTGTATGTGAGGGTGTGTGGGGTGTGTGTGTGTGTGAGCAGGTGACCATGGAGGCCATAGATGTCAGATGACATCTGACATGGATGCTGAGCATAGGCTCTCTGCAACACTTTTTTTTTTTTTTTTTTTGTTTTTGAGACAGGGTTTCCCTGTGTAGCTTTGCACCTTTCCTGGATCTCACTCTGCAGACCAGGCTGGCCTTGAACTCACAAAGATCCACCTGCCTCTGCCTCCCGAGTCCTGGGAATAAAGGCGTGCGCCACCACCGCCAGGCAACACTTTTTTTAAAAAAAAGATTTATGATTATGTACAGTGTTCTGTCTGCAAGTATCCCTGCCCGCCAGAAGAGGGCACCAGATCTCATTATAGATGGTTGTGAGTCACCATGTGGTTGCTGGGAATTGAACGCAGGACCTCTGGAGGAGCAACCAGGGCTCTTACTTAACCTCTGAGCCATCTCTCCATCCCCTCTGCAACACTTTTAACTGCTAAGGCATTTGTCCAGTCCTAGATTTACCAAATTCTCATTGACAGTCTGGAACTCACCTAAGTACTGATGTTAAACTTACTAGAAGAAGTATGTAAGATGGTGAGGGTGGTATGCACCTACAATCCTAGCTACTCAGGAAGCTGAGGCAGGATTGCTCGAGCCAAGAGTTCAGATCAGCCTAGACAACACAGGCAGACCTTGTCTCAAAGGGGAGAGGAGAGCAGGGCATGTACATTAGTGGTAGAACACTTGAATGCAATATGCAAGGTCCTGGGCTCAAGTCCCAGCACCCCACAAAAAATAAAAACCTCAAGTCTATAGGCCTCAGTTGTATATGTAATTCAACTAACAATGGTTTTAAGGAAAAATTCATGCTCCCTGCCTTCCCTTTTTCTTGTTGGATTGCCTAGAAACTTAGACCTATCCAGATACATTCTGGTCTGAGGACCTCCAATATGCAGATAAACCATTGGTCCGAGAAGCAATTACCTGCTAAGTCACAAGACAAGTAGCTGTAAGGGGGCTACCAAGGAGACCCCTCCTTCAACCTGATAAGCAGCAGAGGTGGGGGCAGTGATACCTGTAGTTTCGGAGCAGTTTGGTGATGAACTGGGGGTCGTAGCCATTGGGGCCCTTCTTGTACAAGGAGTTGTAGGTGAGCAGGCGCTCTAGCAGAGAGTAGCCAAGCCCATGCTTCTGTGCCAGTGGTGAACGAAGTACAGGCCCCAGCTGCCGAGGGTCTCCAGCTAGCACCAGCTGCCCTCCTGGATTGCCCGTTTCCTTGACCTCCAGCAGTCCTGAGAGGCACAGGGGGAAAGGTTAAATGGTGGGACTTAACCCAACTGGCGTGGGGTGGTGTACCTATAGCCCATCCTGAGCCCCCTCACCTGCTATGGCCACCAGACTCTCGGGCTCCATGCAGTGGCCAGCCTCATCGATGAAGATGTGTGTGAAGTGATCGATGGGAAACTGGGCTGACACCAACCTGGGAGTGTCAGGCCAAGCAGGGGTCATTCCCAGGCACCCAACTACCAAACCTGAACTCTGGCCCTTCATTTCACTCTGCTCTCAGGAACCCCTCCTCTTTCCCTAGCCCTATCCCCCTTCACTTTTTCCTAACAACTGAGGAACAAATCCCATGCATCCCTTACCTGCTGGCAGTGATGAGGGTGGTAATTAAGACCCGATATTGCTGGAGATGCTTCTTGGCAGGGTATACATACTCTCCTTTCTTAGCATCCCAGTTACAGCAGGTCTGTGGGTTATGAAAGGATGTGAAATCAGCTTGGCTCTTTTCTTTCTCACTCTCATCCTGGCTCTGGACCTCCAACACTTATTACCTGCCTCCCTCCCTTTGCAGATAAGAAAACCAAAGTCCCCAGAGGGGTCCTGACCCACCCGAAGTCACACAGCGAGTCTTCAGGTGCTCTGAGAACCTCCCAAGCATCTCTCTGTACTTCCTACATACCTTAATGTCCTCAGGTACCATTCGGATGTCCCTGCTCGGGGCCAGGAGACGATAGATGGAGCTGGGCAGGTGGACCCGGAGCCGCTGACAGAGGAGGTCAGCCCCTGAGTTGGATGGAGTGCAGGCCAGGATGTGGGCTTTGGGCAGGTGCTTCACTACCTGAGACAAAGAAAAGGACAGTATGGGCAACAGGTTCCTATTGACAGCGGGCTCAGGCTACATTGGTCTCCCTGATGCCTGCTAGTCTAGATGACAGTTTGGTATTGGATATTGGTAAATTCACATCTGCGCATTTACATATCAACAGTCAGCAGTCATAATGACCCTCACTCCCTACCTCCTCTTTGGGTGACTGTTCAGGTGCAGGGCCACTCATGTGACTGGAGGGGATCAAAACTGCAGACAAATGCTGGGGGATGCATACTTCAGTACAGGCCCGGGATTATTCTTCAGCCTCACCTGCTTGATGGCCTCCACTAACGTGACTGTCTTGCCGGTCCCTGGAGGCCCAAAGATGATGTAGGGAGCAGGCCGAGTGGTGCCCCTCACAATATGCTTCATGGCCTGCAGCTGCTCAGGGTTCGACTCCAGACTCCGATCATACAGCCTGGCAGAGGAGGGGTCCAGGAATATAAGCCTGAAGTCATCCAACAGCCCGGGCCTCCATTCCCGATATCCACACCCCACGTAAACCCGGGGCCCCTGCCCACAGTCTCACTTGAACTTCACATCTGAGGGCAGTAGGGAGGCCCCACGGGAGGCCACAGGAAAAAGCATGGGCCACAGCAGCCATCGCCCTGTCAACTCCAAGGCCCGGTGCTGGACCCGAAGGGGCTGGCGGTTGAAGGTGAAGTTCACCTTGAAGGTCAGCCCATCCACAAATTGGCTCAGGAGGCTTTGGGCAAAGAGTTAAGTGGGAGAGTTCTAGTTAGGTAGAGTGGGCAGTGAAAAGCCAGGACCCTCTCCACCTCCCACCATTCTGCTCTCTTCCCGGGAGGTCCTTACAAAGTTCTCTGGGAGATGACGTAGTTCACACAGCTTGGAGTCTCTCTGCCCTGTGTCCAGGGTCCTAGTCATCTCCGGGAGCGAGACCTCCTAACCCCGGGCCTTAGAAGCCTGAAGGTTGCTTTTGGTTATTTGGTTCTCCCAACGCTCACCTTGTGGAAAAACTCAGCTTGACACGGTCCAGTTCCACCTTGTGTACAAAACCCTTGTAGGTAATAGGGTCCTCCTGGTTGGTCTCCGAGGACAAAAGGGCAAACAGGTGGTCACCCCGTAGTACTGAGGGACGGCTCTCGGTCACACCAGGAACCTACAGCATATAAACATAAGCAAACTTTTCTTTTCTTTTTCTTCTTCTTCTTCTTCTTCTTCTTCTTCTTCTTCTTCTTCTTCTTCTTCTTCTTCTTCTTCTTCTTCTTCTTCTTCTTCTTCTTTTTTTTTTTTGTAGCACTGGCTGTCCTGGAACTCTGTAGGTCAGGTTGGCCTCTGCTGTCCATGGGATAGGATTAAACATGTGTGCCACCACCACCGCTGGCTTAAGAAAGCTTTTCTATACCACATGTGATCATTGGAGGGCCTTAGCCCCTGGCTCTGGCTTCACAGCCTCAACTCATCCCAGCTTTCCTCTCCTACAAGGCAAAGCACGAATTGGGGGAGGTGAGGACCACAGGCTGCTAGAGGTGCCTAGCCTGGGAATCCAAGAACCTCCCAGGTAGGATTTTAAGATGTGGTGGCCAATGGCCCCAGTCCAGCTAGCTGCCTTCTTGGCCAGCTCAGCTCCAGCTTTGCCTTTAGTGCCTTGGTGCAAACTCCCTTTCCCGGCTCATCTTAGGTCTCTCCCTTCCCACCTGCATGCACTCTTGTGCATTAATCCGCTCTTACGAGCAAGTCTGAGTTTGTGTGTATGTTTTTAAAATGTGAGGGCTGGCGAGATGGCTCCGTGGGTAAGGGGGCCTGCTGCCAAGCCTGACCACCTGAATTTAATCCCTGGGACCTACATGGTGGAAAGAGAAAACCGACTCCTGCAAATTGTCCTCTGACCTCCACATGTGTGCTATTCATCTTGCATACACACAAAATAATATATATTATATATGTGTACATACACACGTATCTATATAATTTAAAAAACCAAAATGTAAACAGGTGAAAGGGTCTCAGAATTATCCATAAAGCTGAGAAAACAAGGGATTCACCAATATTACACAGTTGGCGGCAAAATCTAAATTAAAATTCCACTACCTATATAAACTGGGTGTGTTAGGCCGTGTCTATAACTGGGGCGGTAGACACAGCAAGATGAGAAGTTCAAGACCACCCTTAGCTACGTAGTAAGTCTGAAGCTAGCCTGAGCTACATGGGCTGCTGCCTGAAATAAATAAAGTAGAAACAAAACCATTGTGCTGTCCTGGCACATTTTGGGGGACAGGAAGCTCACCCTGTTCTTTGTCCATACCCTCTGAATATTTCATCCTTTTTGTATGTATGCCCTGCTGTCAGAGATCATGGCCTGTTACCTCCTTCAGGTTGACTGGCACGCACCCTCCCTCCCCACAGCAGATCTGAGCCCTAACCTCCAGTGTGAGCAGCCTGGGATTCTGGTCCACAGGGTCCCAGGTCATGGGTACCGCGTCCAGGTCATAGTGCCGGATATCATGTTCCATCTGCAGCTCCTCCAGGTGCAGCAGCAGGCGGAGCTTCACTTCATAGTTCTGGGATTTCAGGGCTGTCTCCAGCTGGGCCCTGGGAGGGATGGTTGAGTTGGGGCAGGAACAGGGTAGGTCAGACAACTCCCTTGCTCTGGGGCTCTACCCTCTCCAGCCAGCCATCCATCCATCCCCACACTGAACATGCTGTGGGCAGCACACACTGTTCAAGGTGAACCCGTGAAGAGAGGCCAGACAAAGAGGCCAGCAGAAAGACAAGGGAGCCCGTGGTACAAAGTACCAGTACTCACTTGATCTCGGCAACCTCCTTTGGGGCGGTGAAGATACTTGGTCCCTGAAGAAGGATAGGGAGCAGTTGCCTGAGGCGGAGGGGTGGGTAGTAGGTCCCCAGGGCCAAACTTAGCTCCAGTTCATAGCCCTTGGCGCTGTGGGAGGGAAGAAAACCTGTCAGAAACACAGAAACCCCTCATCTTCAAAGACTCTGGAAATGTCCCCATGGAGCCTTGCAGAAACACTCACTCCTCTGTATTGTTCCCCTTTCTGGTATACATGCTGCTGAACTGAGCACGCAGAAGACTTTTCTACAGTGACTTCTGTGGTGTGGTCAGCAGCCATCCAGGGGTTCAGTGCTCCCTAGCTCATGTAGCTGCTTGGTCCAAGGCTGGACCATTCTCGTTTTTGTAAAGCCTAATACTTGAAAGATTTAAAAAGACATATTTTGTGAGCTGGGTGTGGTGGCACAGGCCTATAATCCCAGCACTTCGCACTGGAAATGAGTACAAAAGGTTTATGAGTTATAGGCCAGCCTGGGCTACACATCCCAACTCTCTCAAAAATAAACAACAAATATAAGTAATATATGCTCTTTTGAAGAAACAACAACAAAGCAATATGATTTAAATAATAACTAAGTAACATTCTTATCTTTCAGAAACAATCTTCATATTGTTTTCTTCGTTCTTTCTTTTTTTTTTGATTTTTCGAGACAGGGTTTCTCTGTATAACAGCTCTGGCTGCCCTGGAACTCACTCTGTAGACCAGGCTGGCCTCAAACTCATAGACATCCATCTGCCTCTGCCTCTGCCTCTCCAGAACTGGGATTAAAGGCGTGCGCCATCACTGTCTGGCTACATATATATTATTAATGAGGAACATGTTATAACTATAAAGATCTTATTACATGGTTTGCATTTACTACTCATTATTTTAAAATGTTTACCTTTCTATGGATTTGGGTGTGTGAAAAGGGCACCAGATCCCCTGGAGCTGGAGTTAACAAACAGTTGTAAAGCCACTCACCTGGTTGGTGGGAACTGAACTCAGGTCTGCTGCAAGAGCAGCAGGTAGGTGCTCTTAAAACAGAGTCACCCCTCCAGCCCCTTCATTTTGTTTTTAGGCAGTCTTTCTGTGAAGTTCAGGCTAGCCTAAAACTCCTTGAGCACAGGCTGAACTGTAACTCCAGTAATTCTGCCTCAGCCTCCAAGGGGTCAGGATTACAGTGCTTTCAGCTACCACGTCTTGCTCTCAGATTTAATTGTTTGTTTAAATATTAGACAAGGTTTCACTATGAAGCCCTGGATGGTCTGGAATGATATGTAGATCACACTGGTCTTGAACTTATAGAGACCTGTCTGCCTTTGCCTTTGCCTCTGCCTCCTGAGCGCTGGGATGAAAGGCATGGGCCATACCTGGCTCTTTTAACAGCTTTGCTGGAAAAACTCACATACAGTTTTGTGATTTGTTTAGTGTATTCACACACGTGTAACCATCATCATTGTCAGTTTTAGAACACTTCTGAGAAGCCCTTCAGCTACCACCCACAGAAACGTAGACATCTAATCGCGAGTGCCAGGCGTGGCGGGGCAATGGTGGAGCACGCCTTTAGTTCCAGCACTTCCAGGAAGGCAGAGGGAGGTGGATCTCTATGAGTTCCAGGACATTTTAGTCTGCAATAGTGAGCTCCAGGTCAGGCTGGGTGGCTTACAACTGTCTGCCATTTCCATACTGTCCTCAGGTCTGCTACTCTCCTGCAGCTTGCTTCTCTGACATGAAAGGGATCTGAGACCCAAAGGAGGGAATAAACTACAGTTCAGAAAGGGGGCTCTGTCTCCTAGCACAGGGGGTCTTCCCGAGCGCCCATGCTGTCATTATCCAGTTACCGGTCAGGCCTCTGTCCTTCCTCTACCCGGTTGGTCAATACGGAGTTTCTAGAGAGCCGAGGGGTGCGCTTGAAGGGAGTCGTGGGCTTCAGTTGTGCAGCCAGGGGGCTGTGGGCGACGGCAGCTAAGAAGCGGGCAATGTAGAAAGTCTCTGCTCCTTCTGCCCCTGAGTCCCCAGGTCCCAGCAGCTCCCAGAGGACGGTGGCTGGGAAGTAGCCCACTAGGCTGGTCTTACAGTAGACATGGAGCTCATAGCTTTCACCTGCACGAAGGTAAGCGGAGTGAGGCAGAGACCCTACCCACGGCATCCCCATCCCAAGGCGGGAGCCCACTGGACAGAGAGCTACTTCACCTTAGATGACCACTCACCTGGCCCTAGTGGGCAGGGCAGGTCCTGTTCACCATGGTAGAAGGCAAACTGGGGCGTCCAGCAGAGTGGGAAGAGATGAGTGAGGGTAACTGGCTTGGGTCCTCCGTTTCGAAGCCTTAGGGTCAGCACCTCTTTGCGGTTCAAATCCAGGCGGATAAGGAGCTGCCCGTCTCGGGCTTCATGGGGCCCCTGGACCTCCACGTCCACCCCATGCTTCCCATGAAGATACTCAGCTCTGGGGAGAGCGGGAATCAAGGGGGTATAGGGTGAGAGGACCATGGGCTGGGAATTACCCTGGGGAAGGTTTCAGGCTTAGGAACTTAGTAAAGTGTCAGATGTGCTTGGGAATTTACCTCTACCCTGTATTAATTCCCTGCCTCTCTTCCTTCCATGTGGGGGTGGGGGTGGGGATGGGGGGTAGGGGGTGGGGGGTGGGTTGGGGAGCTTACCATGGCCCGAGGAAAGCCAGACATCCCTTCCCCTTGCCCTCCCCTGCCCACTCACAGGGCATGCACTCACACACCTGTCATGAAAGATCCTGGCCAACAGTGATCTCTGTTGTTTGCTGATATTCGAGCCTGGCTTTATTCGCCTCTTTTCTGGAAACTGCACATCGGCCCAGCGGTCTAGTTTGAAGAACCTGACCCGAGTCTTGGTGACGAAGGCCAGATTTGCAATCCTCATTCCATACAGCATGGAGGAGAAGCCAGGGGCAGGGGTCCCATAGCTGCCAGAAGCAGAGGACACTGGGAAGTGAGGGAAGGCAGGGTGGCTGTGGAGAGGGTGCTGGGCAAGGCCCAAGAGCTACTTGCTCTTTGCAGGGACATACCAGTCCTGCTTCGAGGCAGGATGGGGCTCAGAGGCAGAGACTCTGGCTAGGGATGGTAGGAATTTTTAACAACTTAAAGCAAGGCATGGGGGCTTTCCAACACAAAATAACTGGCTTTAAACAGCACTGTAAAGCAAAGTCCAATATTGGGCTGTTGGCTGGGAAGACAGAGAGAGAAACAGATTTTTTTTTTTTTAAAGGGGGACTATTTGGGGACATTTAAAAAAAGAGTTCAGTGGGAAGAGCTAAGGCTAAGGGGAAGTTGTAAAAGATGGCTCATAGGAGTGGACAGGTCCCAGGCTGTAGGGAGGGCTGAGAAAGGGGGTCATAGAGAGCAGAGATGTCCAGAGTGTGGGCAAGGTGGCGGATCAGACAGCAGTTTCCCCCGGAAGTCAAAGGGTGCAGGTGGAACCCAAGCAGGAAGGGAAAGGATCCTTCTCCCGAGATCAAATAGCCTGGCTTTGTGCCTAGAGAGGTGAAGACAGGAAAAGTGGTCAGCAGGATGACCGCGGTCTCAGCACCTGGTGTTCAGCGTAGTCCACTCCGCACACTTACGGAGGCATGTTAGGTGCCAGACACTGCGCTTGAGGCTGGTTCCAAGCTGCCAGACCTCGATCCAGCCTCGAGGACCACTCAGAGAGAACCCATACATTCCAGCGTGATGATGGGGCATAGTTGCTGGGACTGCACCCAAGGGTTCAGTGGGCCAAGCTGGGGCGCTGAGGACTGTCTGGGCAGGGGGGGGGGGGGTCTCTGAGGAAGGAGTGGGCATTCCCCGGGCAAGAGGAAGCACACGATGAGCAAACCGAAGGGTATGGTGACGGGGCTGGGCCTCCCAGCCGCTTCAGCTGGCTACTCACCAGCACCTTGCTTTCTCTTTTGAACTACTGGGGCCTATGGAACTCAGAGGTTAGGGATGCTACCTAGCGTTTGTGAGGCCTGAGGTTCAACCCCTAGCACCAAAAGGCAAAAACAAAACAAAACCAAATCAAAACCCAACCCCCTCTCCCAACCCCTCCCCTGCCAAAATGGGCAAAAAACAAAAATAAAAAAATAAAGTAGGGATTGAAGACCTGCCTTAGAGGGCCACCATGAGGCTCCCTTGAGAGACTGACATTGCAGGGAACCGTTAGCCCAGTGCTTGGCACGAAGCAGACCTCGGTAAGGGAGAGTGATGGTTAGTGTCACATACAGTCGGTTTGTACTACAGTGAAAGGTTCCAAGAAAGGGATGACAGGAGGTGGCAGAGATGGGCAGATCCAGACTGTTTTACATGGCAGGCTAGGAGCCTGGACTTGACCCAGGCTTTCAGCAGCCTTTCACTTCCCTTCTCTGGTACCCAGGAGCCTGAGGATGCTCCCAAACACATGGCATATTTGATGGACATAGTGAGGACCTGGAGGAGTGATAACCTCACTCAACGCTTGTTGGTAACGCTGGGTTATTACAGCATATCCTAGCAACTGTGTGGTGATTCTTAGTAACCCATCACTGGCGATCAATCAGCATGGTTGCTTATAAGAGCACACAGTAAGGTCCTTTGTGGCTCGGGACATCTCCTTGTGTCCCACACCTATCACTCTGCCTCTCTCCCTCATCCCAAGAAACGAGAGCAGTATGATTCAGACAACATTGAAGAGGCTATGATTTCTTTTAAAAGGATGGTAAGTCATTTGAAAGCACAATGAGAAATGCTCGGTGGACGTTAGTGGCTATCGTTAGTATTTGTATTAGTAGGGAGAGGTCTAATCACAGCAAGGGTAGGAGGAGTAACAACTTACTTTCAGCCCTCGTCAGAGGCTACCCTGTAGTTACAGAACCACTGCAGTTGGTGGGTTTTAAGCAGGGGAGTGGCAAGACCATATGTGCATTTCAGATCACTCTGGCATCAGGATTGGAGGATGGATATGCTGGAGGCAAGATTGTAGGCAGGGAGACCCGTTAGAAGAAGGCCACTGCAGTTGTCTGGTTAAAAGATACCAAAGGCCTGAATGAGGCAGTGGGAGAAACAGAGGAGGGGTCAGATCTGATCATATTTTGAATGCAAATTAGCAAAGTTTGGTGACCGACAGGAAGGAGAATAGAGAGTGGAAAGAGAAGCATCTGGAATATCCAAATCAAGGACTTTGGCTCTGGGACTGTCCCTGAGGAGGGAAAAGGTAGGTAGCCAAAAGGACCATCACATTTGCATCGGACATGCTGGGTTTGAGATGCCCGTGGTCCAAAGGCAGCCCTAGTTATGTGAGGCAGAGCTGAGAGCTCACACCAAAGACAAGGTCAGAATCTAATAATATTAGGGAGTCCCCTGGTGGTAGTTAACAACCAAGGACTCGTGCTTGGGACCTCCCCAGGGAATTGCAGTCTGAGAATAGTCAAGACCAACACAGGCCAGGGAGGAAGAGAAAACAGAAGAAACCTCAAGAGAGAGAAAAATCAGAAGAGAACATGGTAGGACCAGGCATGGTCCCTCACACCCATAATGCCAGCACTCGGGAGGCAGAGGCTGAAGACCACCTCAAATCTGATGTTAGCCTAGTCTACATACTAGGGTGCAGACTATCCAGGGATACACAGAAAGATACTGTCTCAAAAACAAACAAACGAGGCTGAGCGTGGTGGCGCACACCTTCGATCCCAGCACGTGTGAGGCAGAGGCAGGTGGGTCTCTCGGGGTGTGAGGTCAGCCTGGTCTATATAGAGTGAGTTCCAAGCCAGCTAAAGCTACACATCAAGACTCGGTCTCAAAAACAAAAAACCCCAAAGAAACAGAAGGTTGATGAGACAGCTTAACGGGTAAAGGTGCTTGCCGCCTGTCCGGACAACCTGAGTTCAGCCTCGAGAGCTACATACATGTGGGGGAAGGAGAGAGCTGACTCCCATAAGTTGTCCTCTGACCTCTACACAAGGACACCCTAGATAAATATAATTTAAAAAGGAACAAAAGTGGGATGCTGATATGGAGGAGTCTATCTCTATCCTGTGAAGAGAACGACAGAAAAGGGGGTGGCTGTGTGTGGTGGCACACGCTTTTAATCCCAGCACTCGGGAGGCAGAGGCAGGAGGACCACTGAGTTTAAAGCCAGCCTGGTCTACAGAGTGAGTTCCAGGGCAGGCAGGGCGACACAGAGAAACTCTGTCTTGAAAAAACTTAAAAAAAAAAGGAAGAGAAAAGGACAGAAGATAACGGTCCTATGGAGGTCAACTTACTTAGGTTTAAGTTTGCATGCGTAAGGAGAAAAGGTATTCAACCAAAGTGTTAAGATATTTAAGCAAGACAGCATTGCACATGCAGTATGAAAGGCCTTCGCTCCAAACTCTTGTTGAAGTGGGACGTACATCCAATTGTTACTTGATAAACACTCCCTTAACTAGACACATAGGAACAGACGCTGTTCTGTGACGATGCTTTATGGTGCCATCTCCCGCCTCTGAACAGTTGCAGAAAGTACCACGGCTTTAATTTAAATGGGGTAGTCAATTCCCCAATGACCAAGGCAAGCTGCCCACAGTTTTTGATGTTATAATCATCATACACACAAAAAACCTTGTACTTTCACAAGTCCAGGGAGACACGCTCTTGGAAGCAGAATTTCTGGGTGGGCCAAAGAGAATGAATGAACTTTTACAACTTTAGTAAAAAGGTCATTTTCTTTTGGAGATAGAAGCTGGCCTCAAACTCACGATCTACTGTCCGTCCCTTTACATGCTGAATTTATAGACTTCTGCCACCACACCCGGCTTAGCTGGGAACTTCCGCAAAACTGCCTCCTAAACCAGCTGTCTGGATTTATGTTCTCATTAGTAAGAGCTTCAGAATGCCCCCTTTCCAGCCCCTAGCATCAGAAATTTTCAATTGTTTACTTTTTGTTTCCCCAGACAGGGTTTCTCTGAGTTGTTTTGGTGCCTGCCCTGGAACTCACTCTGTAGACCAGGCTGGCTTTAAACTCACAGAGATCCGCCTGCCTCTGCCTCCCGAGTGCTGGATCAAAGGTGTGCACCATCGCCACCCGGCTAATTATTTACATTTTTTACAGTCTTTTTTAAAAAATTATTTTGAGACAAGGTCTCTTGTAGCTCAGGCTGGCCTCAAACTCCTGATCTTCCTGCTTCCACCAGGTACATGACACATGCTTGGCTGATATTTGCTGCCATCTGTTGCAATTTTTTAAAAGTATCTTCTTTAAATTCTTACTTCCTTGGTCAGTCACACAGCTGACAGGGCTTCACTATGTAACTCTGACTCCCCTTGAACTTGCATAGATTCTCCTGCTGCCACCTCCCACACGACAAGACTACATCTTACATGAGCCTTGCCTAGCACGTCTTTTGTGTACTGCCTCTGAAACCGGCCTCGTCATATCTGTTGTCATTTTCTCTAGGCTCTGTTAACTGCTGACCCTACTTCTGGCTTTGCATCTCTCCTCCCACGCCTGGTCTACCCTGTACACAGGCAGCAGGGTCACCACAGATCCAACCGCATGCCCACGAACAACTCCACAGGGCACAAACCCAGCTAACCCTTTGGTACAGTTACCACGACAGTGCGCGCGCGCGCGCGTGCAGCAACATCATCTCTACCAGCAGAACACTTTTCTGAGTACTTACTGGGTGGTGTGCTAAGTACCCAAATGCATGGCTTCATCTATTTCTCACAACTCTTTTCAACAGTAGCCATTATCGGCCCCCATGCTGACTCCAGCCACTTATCCATCAGGCACAGTAGCCATTCCCAGCCACTGGCGTCACTGCTCCTCAGCAGGCTTTCTTGTCTTTGCCGACACCCTTAGACTCCACTGCCTGTCATCTGGTCTCTGTTATTTGTTGCTCAAATGGCAGCTAATTCCCCCCCTCCCCACCCCACCCCCCAAAAGAACCCAAACCAGCGGAATCTAGTATCA